TATAAAATTGTTGGGGGTACTATCTTCTCTTAAGGTCGGAAAGGGGGGGGGGAGCGTAATGGTTATTTAACACCCTGTATTTGCTTGAAATTCTCCCATAGGTGGTGGAATTTCAACAATTGATGCAAAACAGGGCCATATAGATTTCTTTGATTAACGAACAATAGGTGCGCCATCTGAGTGTACAACTAAAGTAATCTTATTACTGTTCGTATTTGATAAATGCTGGTATTGGTCACCAAAAACTATATCACTTGGTGGAAATAACTGTGATTTATTTATAACAGCAGCGTTCCGGTTCATAATTGATTGTATTTGATATCGTATATCAAATCGAACTATTTCAATTATTTATGTGGTACGACGGTGACGAAATGATGTTGAACAATTTGGATCAACACACATTTGGGAACGTATTCCAAGTTTATCACATGAATGATAACAATCAGAACATAGTAATACGATGGATGTTGATGGAAAGTAGTGCAAGACTTTGTTCATAGATTTTAACGTTGACAGTAACAAATTCGGTTTTGGTAATAAGGACTTAATTAACCGTAATAAACCATTGACCTTGTGTTTGTCCAAATTGATATTCAAGTAAAAATTAGTAATACGATGAACTGCATTAGTAACAGTGATCGAGGAACCATTATAAAGTGGACGTTTATCATCTTCATATTCTTCTTCACTAATCCAATTGATATCATCATCCAAATGATCAACACTTGTTTCAAATGAATCATATTCATTACTAATTGACATATGAGATATTTGTTCATATGGTTGTTGCTCCTGATGGTGTGTTTCTAATAGGTCCTCCTTACTTTCACTAAAGTGGCTATTATCAGAAGACTCACTATCAGGAACAATTATCTTATGAACTGATTGACGTTTAATTCGTCGAATACAACGCCGCTGGTTTACTTTATAAGAAAATCGATACATTTATTCTAAAGGCAAATAAAAGATGATTATTATTCTAAAACCGAGGATCTAGGATAAGGCTAGAACAATTTTCAATATTATTCGTTAATTCTATGAATCATGATTAATCCGATCAATCAGATTATTAACCATATTAAGTCGATAGTGCACATTCAATTAGTTATTTTTTTTTAAAGTTGAACTAGTGTTTTCAATTTTTTTATCGCTATAACGCCGCACAGAGCACTATTATAGTTATGATACTTAGCGTCGCTATATCGTTAGAGTAGTTACGAGATAGCGCCGCCATATTGCTAGATAACGCCGCTATATGGCGTTTTGACGCTATAGCGACGCTAGTGAGAAAAAATGACGACATGGGCGCTTTATATAAGGATAAAGCATACAAACAGAAAAACTTTTATTTATATTGATGTCAATCAAATTAGATCTACACTTCCTCTGTACATCCATTTTGTTTATCTGATTCATAAAGAAAACATTTTCCAGGATGTTAGAAACAGAGTAAAAGTCTTGGTTTATTAAATAATCCTACTCATCATTAATAGGTAAGAATTAAGTACGTTCATGTTTTGACTTAAATCACATTCAAATATTTAGTAGATATCAAGAAAAACGATAAAGCAAAGTATAGAACTTCAACATACTCTTTCGATTAAGCATCCCAAAAAGTAAAAGTTTACACAAAAAGAAAGAAAATTTTTCTAAAGTAGTACCGAAAAAAATTCGACAGCGATTTGGACAAACAACATTGATGTTTACAGATTTTGTCTTTGAATTATAAGATGAATTCAGTTTGATTAACTTTTAATAGAGAAGTCATGTTGAAAATAAAAAAAACTCGAATATAGTACATTCAATTCTTTTTCGTTATAAGACAACACTAAAAATGATCTGACTTAACATGGACAGCCGAGGATTTAAACAAGTGTTCAAATACTTTTCTCTTCTAAATAAGTTTCAATGCTGAAAAATCATGTTTGATTTCTATGACTCAATAATTATCTCTTAAATGAAGTCTATAATCAATTGTTTTTTATTCTTTACCTGGTCTCAGTGAATGATAAAATACGGGTGTTAAATAAACAGGATCATAAATTTGATCACCTTCTTCATATGCCTGTGGTTCAATTGCCTAAAAGAAAAATCAAATTACATATTAAAATTAGAAAAACAAAATAACAGAATCTAAACTAACCCTTAATCTTCTTTGTACGGGATAAAATAAAATTGATCTCATCATCATTTTATCATCTAATAAATTTATTATCTGTTCTAATTTTGATGCTTGTAATAAAATATTGTTTGCATCTGTTGCTGTAATATATAATTTTAATGCAGATTCACCCCAAACAAAAGCTGATTTCATTGAATAGCCATGTTTTTTATATGTATACATACAAGTTAATGTATGTTGATCATTTTTTGATAATGTGGGATTATAAATTGATAATAACATAAGAAAATGTTTTGAACAATCAATTGTTCTTGATGATTGATTAGAATCATAATGTGAAACAAATAATGAAAGTTGTTCAAGAAAATTTTTATGTTTAAGGAAATTTGCAAATAACTTAGATGAATGTTTTTGATCAAATGATTCTTGGCATACAAAAAATTGAATTAGAGTTTTTAAGAGATTTATTGAATTAGTAGTTAGGGTGTGGAAGGAGGCGGGTGTTATTCCTCTCTTTACTCACATTCACACCCACCCACACTCTGTATCAAATTGAAGCTGAAACCCACACTGAATGCCCAAATCCAAACTCCCAAACGGTTTGGGCTTGAGTTTGGATTTGGTGCATGCCTAGCTTTAACAAAAAAGTGCACGCTGGAGCCAGCATCTTACGATACTTTACCATTTCTATTTCTGGAAAAAAATATGAACTAATGCTGGCAATTCGTTTAGCATGATGGCAGCTGCTCACCAAGCACTTCTTCCACCGTGTAATATACAGCACTATACATAATTGATGCATAGATTTCATTTTAACGAGCCGTGTGGCATGAAATGAGTGTTGCCGGTAAACCAACGCTGCCTCGAAATATGCAAATATGAATAATATTTGTATGCGCCCTGAATTTTTCCTTGCATAAAGCTGTATTACACTTAGCTAGACACATATTGTAATTAAATTCAGAAGACCATAATTTTCGTTACATTCTCTACATGTCATTTTTCCGTAATGAAACGTCAAACGCATCTCAGAATCATAAAACAAAATAAATAATATCCCTGATCTTTTCATAAGTCAGCAAGAAAGATAAATTCTTGTCCTTCATTTAACAGAGACCTGCACATAGAGCACAGGCACGTTTAGAATCAGCATAACTTTACTATTACATTAGCACAGCCTTTCACACATATCTGAAATACTCATTTGCATCAATCTCTCCAAAGAGGAAAAGAATGGAGGAGCAAAACACTAAAAAAGTAGCAAGAGAGACGAGAAGAACTAAAAGAAAAACAGCAACTAAAAAGAAGAAGAAGCTTGATGAGATGCAAGAGAGAAAAAAAATAAGGAATAAGAAGAAAAAAGGCACCAATTTAAATACAAAGTAATCTTAAATAAAGGGTGAGTAAAAGAGTTCACGTCTTCTAACTAATAAGCGGCGCAAAAGCCTTTAGAAAAATGCCACACTGTGTTAGACCAAAATATTTTTCCAGAATAAATCTAAGAAGGAGGATATCCCAAAAATAAAACAACTCGAGCAGCGTTTTTGTGACGTTTTTGCTACTTGAAAAAGTTTGTATTTCTCAATTATTTTTGGCTACATGGATCAAAATCTGATAAGAGTATTCACCAAAGTGTAGTGAATCAAAAGCTCAATTGATGTCAGCTTTGGTAAATTTTTTAGATCTGCTTTTGATTGTTTATTCAAAAGAAATTTGGAAATTGAAAATGTTTTGTAAAATAGAGTTTTGGAAGAAGATCGGCCTCAATCTTCGAAAGTCATGCATGAACTGAATTCTTGGTGCGTTATTTGTTCGAAATATGTCAGGCCATAGACACTTAGCAGGAAAAAATAATTCAAAAATGTTTTTTAGTGTTGCAAAACTGTCAGTTAGTAAGAACGATCAAGTTATCTAGTCTCTTTCAGAAATAGTTATATATTGTTATAAAAACTAAGAGTAAATTTAGCTTCTAATACACTATTGGGAGGAGCACTCTTATCGCTACAAAACTCAACATTAAACATAGTTTTCCATTTCACTTCTAATATAAAAAGTTTAACGGAAATAGAAAACTAATTTTGCACGATGATGAAGTTTTAAGAGCTTTTTTTGAGTTTCCTCCTTCTTTGATTTATTCTGGAAACATATTTCTCATACAAAATTTGTTGTTCAGAAATTACTCTTTCTAATAAAAACAAAATTTCATTGGTTTAGAAGTTGACAATATGGTCTAACAGAATGTGACATTTTTCTAAAGACTTTTGCACCGCTTATTATTTCTGCTTTGATTCTATATGTTCATTATTCTACTTTTTATCATCCTGCACAGTTGTTTATCAACCAGTAACACTGCTGTCGCTCTCTTGAAATGCGTCTTGTTCCCGCATTATTGTCGGTGATTAGTATTAGCTGACAGGATAGCTCAATTGAAGCTTTAATATTTAGAGTTAAATGAGTATCAGCTGCAAGTTTACCTATAGATTGAAAACTGCGTTGATCGAGTTGCAATAATTATACAGCTCAAATATAGTTTTCACTTCTACAAAAAAAGAATCTTTCATCGTCTCATGGATTGAAGCAGACACTCATACATGTTTGAGTCACAAAAATGGATAAATCTTCCACCCTGTTTCCAACAAATACTATTCGCTTTGCTACACCTTTGTTAAGGAAGTAAGAAGAAGGAGAAGAAGAAGAATATCTTGCCTTTTGGCGACCTTGATATATAGGGTACTATCTAAAGACAAATTCGATAGCCCGATATTTTCCCTACACCTGTTACTAGCTGTAGCCTTGAATAGAAGATTGGCTTGGGTCAGAGTTCTTCCGCTTAATTACTTAAGCTTCCCATACATACCAGAACTCGAAACTGGCCACGATTTTCATAGCCCGGCCCTACTCGAGTCCGACTGAAATGTTCTTTTTTACAAAGATTCTTTTTTGTCAATAAAATGTGCAGATCACTATGGTAATTGACAATGCACTTTCAAGCAAATATCCAGTGTTATTTTGAGTTTGATTAGCCCAGATTATCGAAATGAAAATAAAATCAATATTCAATAAGGTGAGTTGCTTTCTAAGTAAAGCAAGAAAAATATTGTAAGGTTGTATAACTCAATAGCGCTTATTCTACAAAAGACGATATCCTTTGGTACAGCTCATGAATTGAGTTACACTGGTGGAAAGCATATCACATTTCTAAGTGAAAGTGTTTTTTTTTTCGATTTTTACCATATAGTGAGCTAGCTAGTGGTCAAAAGTAGTTTGTGAACTAAAAAACAATTATTGATATCTAAAGTTTGAAGATAGACTTCCTAACTTTAGATATTAGTATTTTTTTTCAACTAGCTCATAGACTGTATTTTACCACGTTCTAATCACTACATGGTTGAAATCGACAAAGACTATAGCATGGAAAAATGGCACAAAGCCAGTTGAATTCCTTTATTTTCAGAAAATGGTTTAGTTTCTATAAATTTGTTCCTTACTCAAAGTTGAAGGATTATATTAAATGTTATTTAAAGCTCCTACTCTCGATGACGATTTATTTTCAGCATATTTTTTTTCTACCGATCACTCTCTCTCGTTAATGAATGCTAATTTTTCAATACAAAACATTGCATATAGATGAGAGATACGGCTACTTTAAGCAATTTCTCGAACTTATTATATTAGACCTACCTCCTAGAGCTTTCAAGGATAAAAAATAGGTGAACTTTCTATCAAAAGCACAAAAAGCATTGAATTTTGGGCGACGAAATGAACATTAATTATTGTGTACTTCAATTTTATCGAGTATAAGCAATCTTTTAAGGAAGAAAATGCAAGGAATGAGATTTTGAAAGAGCATAAGAGATTTCAATTCTTGAAAACAGTTATTTCCATCAATGAACTGTGAAATATACCAAAATAACATTTATTTTTTTTCAAATTACTAGACTAAAGTTTAAATTCTTTCGATCTTGGAATATTTTTGATGATTTCTATAAATCAAAATGAGTGTATAGCTTAGTAAAAGTTTAAAAAAACAACAAAAGTGTCGGAACAAGCTCATCCGACAAAAAGTATAATCCGCCCGGCCCGGCAGTTTTTGTGACCCGGTCAGCCCCGTCCGAAAAAAATAATTTCATCGGACCGGGCAGCTTGCTATTGGACGGGTGATCTTAGACAAGCAGCCGTTTGTGACTTATTGAGTTTCCAACAGAGTACATTATGGATATGTTTTAAACTTCTTTATTACTCTAACAGAGCGATCTCTTAAGACATAAACAATAGCAGCTTTCATTACCAAGTGAAAATGTTGATATGGGGACTGTATTTATTCATCACTGCTCCTACAGCTGCAAAAGAGGTCCATGCAAGGAACAAGCGTGCCATATCTTCAACATTTTCGAGAAACGAAACCTTTCTTCGATATAAAGTTATTGCATTCAACCTAAAAATTAGTAGCCCTATTATACGAGAACTTGAGAACATCTCACGAAATACAATTACAGGGCGCTGGATAGTGCGAACACGATACAAAACCGTTGAGTATCGAGGCTCCGATCAGCAATCACTAGTAACCATGTATGTTTTATGACAATCAGCCTCGTTGACTGATCCAAGGCAACTAGGCAATACCTGAAAAAGTACTCTTTATAAGTGATGCTCATTTTTCGAGTATACCGATAAACTTCATTTCTTAACAGCACGTATCAACCATGCACAGCAAGCTTCGAGACCGTTTGTCCGGTACGCTCAAATCAGTTCTGTATTTTTTTCAAGATCTATCGAACATTATAATAGGTTTTGTGCGCTATTTTCTAGATTCGGGCTTTCAACAGATTTTCGTCAATTACTAGATTGAAATAAAAAGTCGATACGTGCAAAGTGAAGCAAGGTCAAATTTTATCTTCGCTATTGAGTTACACAATGATACCGAACAAAAAATTACTGTTTCTGGTGTCTTTCATTGGCGTGGCTTGTGCTGCTGCTGTCATTTCAACTATTCTGCTGCTGAAACACAAAAGTGAAACCAACAAAACAAGTATTTTGCCCCTTTGTAAGAATGCAACTATAATATTATGCCTGGTTAAAGAATTAACTCGACTCCTTTCTAGCTAGTGCTCTGGATATTTAGAGAGTTCTTTATTTGTTTTTCACCTTCGGCACACTAACGTTAAATAGTTCATGTGTAAAGACTTGTGTTGTACTACAAGATGCGAGAGTCTTATTTTGATGGTAACACGAAATATGCTCCCCAGACACTTGCTCTCGGACACTCCCTCCCTGCTGACAGT